TCCCTGTTTGGCCAAAAGCTAAAGTCTCAGACCCGCTCTAGGGAGCACCCTTCTGCTCTCACACTCCACCCTCAGGCCTCCTCTTTGAAGCCACACATTGTGTGGGGTGTGCAGTTGACCTGGGAGTCTATAGAAGCCATGGTGCATGATGGGGTCCTGGCAGAAACAAGGTGAGAGACGCAGCTGTGTGTGATTCATGCAAGTCCTCTGACTAACAGGTGGGTCCACCACCATTTAATGAATCCCTACTACATGTCATATGCTGAGGGACTCAGGACATAAGGACGGGGAGGCTGTATACGACCGTGTGGCTGACACTGGAATGAAGGAAGAGAGAGAGCCAACAGGCATCAATCCTTCAGTTCCCTCCATTCGATGCCGACTCAGAGTAACGTTACAGGGCAAAGTAGAACTCCCCTTTCATTTTCAGAGGGTGTAAATCTCACAGGGGCAGAAAGTCTCATCTCTTTTCAGCTGCTGCTGGGGTTTAGAACTGTGGAACTAGTGCTTAGCTGTCCAATACCTACATCGTCACTCCGGAAAATATTAGTACCAATAATAAATAAAAGAAAATGTTAAATATGATAGAGCATGCTTTTTCATACCACACACACACACACACAGATACAATCCCACAGTCACACACATACATTTCTGTCATAAATATCTGCCTGTGGCATCTCAGTCCTCCTGCTAAAAATGGACAATCAAATCCAGCGAGACCTGTCTCTGAAGAAATGTGAAAAATTCCACAAACAGGGCATCAAAATCACATATCCGTATCTGAACACACACACACACACTAACACACCAATCCTCTTGGACAATCTGAAGGTAAGAGGAGAGACATCACAGACAAAAGCAGGATGGAGAAAGGGAAACCCCACTGAATATTCGAATGACCCTCCAGAAAATAGTTTCAAAGGGCAGTGAGGTTCATCTCTCTGAGACTTTCCTGGACTTGAAAGCTGCCAGGAGAATCAAGTCCACCCAGAGCCCTCCTGTGCTCCGTCTCCAGCTTCTCAGACAGAGCCCTGGGGGAGGGGCGTGGGGGCTGCCAGGGGCTGGTCAGCAGTTGGAACCCCCTTCTCTTCAAAGAGCAGTGGGAGGAGTCAGACCAGGGCTGCAGAGGGCATGGAGCCAGTGCTTCCAAGTCACCCTCGTGGGGGCCCTGCCGCCCTCCAGGGAAAAGTGGGTGCATCGTCTTCAGGGGAGAACAAACCTCAGAGTCGTTTCCTGGCCTTTTACCACCAGTACTGTTTTCCTTTTTCTTCAAATTCCTCCTCAGACGCCTGTGGTTTTCCAGTGTCCTTGAGCCAATCCATCAGGATGATCCCTTTGGTGTCTCAAAATCTGGTTCCAGCCATGTTGGAGCGGCCTCTGTGCT